GGTTTTGTGCTTGCTGGCTTGCCTTTCCCCTCCTTCACTCTTCCCAAAGATTGGAATAAGAAGAGGGGTGTGGGTTTGGGGTTTTTTTTATTTATTATTTCATTTTTTCTGGGGGATTGTGTTGTGGTTTTGGGGGTTTTCTATGGTTTTGTTTTTGGGGTGGTTTTTTTTGTGCTCTTGCTCTTACTTTGCCCCTCCTGCCTGCCTGCAGCCTCCCTTCGGGCAGCTGCTGCTCTGACACAGTGTGTGCAGGAGGAGGTGGATCAAAGGGCCTCTCGGGGCTGGGGCCTCGCTGTCCCTCTGCACTCGCGGGACCTGGCAGGAGCCCCAGCTGTTCGCTCTCTTCTCTAAGCCGTGGTTTTCAGGCTGATCGGAGCCCTCATGAGCCACTGCTCACTAACCCTGCGTGATACCGGCCTTGCCCGGAGTGGGTAATCCTGAGCTCCGGGGCTGGGTAAGGGCCCGCGGGCGGCTCGGTGCTGCCGCTGGGCTGCGGTCGGGAGGCGCGTTCCGCGGTGAATCCGCACGGAAGGTGCACAGGGCCTGTACCGCGGATATCGGCGCGGTTCCTGGGCGCAGAGCGGACGGTAGCCAACCGCGATTCGCTTCCCTGGCCGTGCGGGAGCGGGGCCGCCAGCAGAGCCGCAGGCTCCGGGGCCGCTCGGCCGCAGCGGGGCGTCCCCGGCGGCGCAGGGCACGCGTGGCGGGCCGGCCCCGCCGGGAAGGGGCATGTCCCGCTGACGTGCTGGCCGGGGATTGGCAGCGGCCCGGCCTATATAGGCGGCGGGGCGGGCGCCGCGCCGTTCTCCCAGGAGCGCTCCGTTTCTCCAGAAGGGCGGGCGAGCGGGCACCGGCCGGAGTGAGTCACGGGGGACGGGGGCGGCCCCTCCGCCGCGGCTGCGGCGCCGACGTGGAGGCTGGCGGGGAGGCCCGGCCCGAGGCGGCCTTGCATCCTCCCCGGGGCACCGACGTGTCGGCGCTGCCTGCAAAGTCCGCGCTAACTTCCCGCCGGCCGGGCCGGGCAGGGCAAAGTCCGGCGAGGGAGGGCATCCGGCGGCGGGAGGTGGGGAGAAGTCTGGCCCCGCGGCGCGGCCTCGGCCGCCGGTGGCATGGCTGTGCCGGCCGGCAGCAGCTGCCGCGGATGGCCGGCAGTGGGGCCGCGCCGATGGGGAGGCCGGGCCCCGCGGCTGCCTGGGGAGGGGGCGGCCGGGCCGGGCCGAGGCGCGGCACGGACCCCGTCGTTGGTGGGAGAGGGTTAGTGGCGCAGACCGAGGCGGCTCCATGCCGTTCCCGGCCGTATTAGGGTTTGATTCCGATAGGAGCCCAAGCGGCCGGAGGCGAGCGCTCGTCCGGTGTTGGTCAGCCCGCGGAGCGCCGGCGGCGGCGAGCCCAGCCTGCCCCGGGCCGCGGGCCGAGCGCTCCCCTCCTGCCGTGGCTATAGAAGGACGAGCGCCCTGGCCACCGTCGGCGGGGGGAGGTGCCAGCGCAGGGCCCGGAGCTGGCCGAGCCCGCCGCGCTGCCCGCCACCGGCACCGTTCCGGCGGCCGCGGAGCCGCGCTCGGGGCTGTCACTGGGCCCCGCGGGAGCTCCTGCCCCCCGCTCGCCTGATGCGGCCGCCCCCGGCCTGCAACCCGCCGGGCCGCGGCGGGCTGGGGCTGCCGGAGCTGGGGCTGCAGCTGCCCCGTGGCACTGGCCGCGCCCCCACCCCGTTCCCGCACGGTCCCGGTGCGCTGGGCGCGCCCCCGCCGCACCCTCCTGCTCGGCCCCGCGGGGGGCGCGGTGACAGCGGGGCCCGCCGGGCCCTTTAAGGGCGCCGCCCCGCCCCGCCGCCCCGCCCCCGGTGCCGCCAGTGCTGAGGTGGCGCTGGCGGCGCCTCCCGCCCGGCCGGGCCCGCGGGGCCTGGCGGCTCCCCCGCCCCTCGGCGGGGCCGAGCGGACCGGCGGCCCCGTGGCCCCGTGCCGCTGCCCCGGGGGTCACGGCGGCGGTGCGGGCCTGGGTAGGCTCCGGGCGCGGACAGCCCCGGCGATGCCCCTGTCCCAGCCCCGCTGAGCGGCGCCGTCTCGGGCTGCCCCACCGGGCCGGCCAGCCCCACCGGGCCGGCCAGCAGGACGCGGCCGGGTGCACGTCCTCGGTGGCGGGGCCGCCACAGGGCTCCTCCTGTCCAGGGCCAGACGCGGCGGCGGGGCCGGCGCTGGTGGAAGAGTAAACATGGGGGATGGGTCAGGGCTGCCCGCGGCCAGGGCTGCGGTCGGGTTGCACTCTGTGATGCATTAAGTCGGGAATCGCTGCGAAGGGAGACTGCGTTCTGCCACACAGCAGCTGTCTGTCAGCGTGATCCCCTCCAAACCAGGGGACCTGGGCCTTCAGTCTCTGAGGGAGCCCGTCGGTTTTCAGAAAAGAAGTATTTTCATGTGTCCACTCATCAACCAAGAGATTGCCCTGTCCTGGGTGAACCTTTGACAGAGTACAGTGCCTACCACAACCAGCCCAGCCTTGCTGCTGTGTGTGGTTCTCACTGCATGCCATTAACAAAGTAATAATGTTTGTATTAAGTATACTTTTAAATAACATGTAACTGACATTTCCGTCCACAAGAGCTGCCTGTATTGGCAGTGTAACTCAAGACTTTGCCTTTGTTTCTCTTCATACAAATGTTTCCCGTGTGATTAGGTCTGGCCATTGCTGGAGGTTATTTTTAGGATGTTTCTTTTTATTTGAGAAGTCGTTCTCTTTATTGAAATGTACTCTAGACTTCTGTAACTTTATTTGGTGCACAAGGCCAGCACTACAGGCAGTGTATCAAGCAGGCAGTTTGAAACCTGTTGACCCAGTCAGCTCCATGCTGGCATGACGTAGCTGTAACCTTAGTTTCAAAACCTAAGTGGGAAGCCAAGGAGGTGTAAGATCCAAATGCAGTGCTTGAACTGCTGGTTTTGATGTTACATTTAAAATACCATTCTAATGGTTGCCTCTGATTTTGGCCAGAGATGAATCCCTGAGGCCTACAATATACCAGATGCTTGGAATTGCTGGAGATGAGGAGTATTTGTTCTTAGCTTCTTGTATGGGTGACGAAGCAGAAATTCATATGGATAAATGCTGCCCTTTGATTCTGCATTCAATGTCTGGCTGCTCTCTGAGGTGGAGGCTGAAGGAGGATCTGTGCAGCTGCTGTGTACACAGTGAAACCAGCAGCTGTGCCTTGAGGTTGTGTCTTTCAAGTAGGTGCTATATTGGGTGTTGTTCACTGACTTCTTATCCTTACCCTCCTCCTCTAAGGAGGAAAATACATGCAAGATCAGCCAGGTGGTGTTTTCTGAAGAAATGAGAGTTATAAGCACATCTGTGCCTTTAGCAAGGCTCTGGCCAGGCCTTGACAGCTGTTTGTGATGTCTAGCATGCCTCTCCCTCCTGCCTTCATTTGGAGCTTGCCACAAGGTGCTGGCACCCTCGTTAGTGACCCAAGGGGCTGCAGGAGCTGCCACAGAGTCTGCAAGCCTTGGGGAAATAGTCTGGAACAGGTGCCATGGCAGTAACTTGCTTTCCTTGGATCTGCAGCAGCTTGAGCAGCACAGGCATGTACCATAGACACATAACCATGTCTTACACTGGGGTGTAACCCTGGACTGCAAGGAGATTTCTGCAAGATCAGGTTGCTAGCCACCCTTTCTGTGCACGGCAAATGCCTTGCAGAGATCTGCATTGCTGCAGCAGCAGTACTTCAGCAGCATGACTGGCTGTCCCAGTACCTGCTGCCTCATTCCTGGATTAATTGCAGCATTAGCTCTATTGCTCTGACAGCACAGTTTGTGCTGCCTTCTGCCTGTTCAAGGCATGTTGAAGTAGGGGAAAACAATGGCCTTGGCTGAGGTGCAGATCAGGCCTGGATGACTCTGTTGCATCACTGTTTTCTCTGTTCTTCCCTCCTTTCCTTCTGCCACCATCAGCCTCCCTTTACTGTATCACAGCTCTAGCATAATGTGAGACACCCCATCAGCCAACACTATGTTTTTAGGAGTGACCCTGGTTTTGGGAGCCTTTTCTAACATATTGGAATGTCAGAGATGGCAGCTGCCACTTTGCTGAAAAGCAATCAAGCTGTACAGAAGATGGTCCAAGCAGCACTGCAGGGTGTGTGTGGGAGAGCAGCCTCTTGTCCCATGAGCAGGCAGAGGCACTGGGTTTTAGGAAAGTGCCAGCTCTGCAGAAGCACCCAGAGCAGCTCTGGGGGACTCTGGGTGTGGATATTGTACAACTGACAGTGTGTGTACTGTACCAACTTTTACATTTTCACTTGTATTTCTAAGTACTTTTCAATAAATCTGCAGATCCAGATTCAGGAGATGAAAATCCTTTCCCAGCAGTGTATTTTTCTTCCTGGTTCTGCCTTTTGTAGACATTTAAAATAGTCCATGTAAACCAGTGTAAATTTTCTTCAAACTTTCAGATTTAGGCATGGAGACAGAATTTAGTGCCTGGTGCATGATCTTATTGCAATAAAAACTGCAGAGCTGGACTGCCCAGCAGCTGAGTGTTTGCCTTGGTTTGTGAGGATGTCTGTGTTGATTCACCCAAGCTCCACTGAACTACATTCCTAACTTGTGACTGATGGCAGTGTTGTTGGCAGGTTTTCAGGTTGTTAGTCTCTTCTGACTAGAGAAGGTCTTGCTTGCAACCCTGAAATTTCATGTTTTGAACATCTGCTATTAATTGATTATATTTTTGCCTGATATTGGATGGCTACTCTTGTAGCCAGTGTGGTGAAAGAGTAACTACTCCAGACTTCCTGCTGTGAAGTTGGAGTAGATAGTGGCACAGCTAGTAAAATACAACAGGTGTCATGTGTGGGGAGATGCAGCTGGGTATGAGTGTTTTGGGTAAGGTGCAGCTTTGAAACCTACAGGCAGTGCTCTGTTGGAAGTCACAGTAACAGGGATGTCATGTTTTCTGTTGTCTTGGACCTAATTTATTTATTTTAATTTTTTTTTTTTTCTCTACAGCAAAAGCTGGCAGGCTGACAAACAGGCAGCTTACAGGACGGACTCTCTGGCTACTGACCATTTAGCTGGTAAGTTCTTATTTTGGGGAGCTAAAGATCTTGCTGCTGCTGAGCTTGCTAGTCAGAGTGGCTTTCTGAGTGTGTCCCTAAGTCAGGCACCTAAATAAGTTTCTGATGAAGAGGAAACAGCTTCCTGGGTCCTTTCTCTTTTAACTCTAGGGTTACACCATGGTCTTGGACTGACTGTCCAGATATTCACAAACTCATGTAAAATTGCACACCATTAATAATTAATAGATTAATGAGACTGTACTCTAAGTTAATTAGAGTGTGCTTTAAAAATTTGTGGTGTCCCCCTTTCCAGTGACCTTCTTAGGTTACACATCCTCTGCCTTCTTAGGGAGGAGCTCTGGTTTTGGTGACCACTGTGTAGGGAGGAGATATCCACCCAAAATTCCTGTTTCAACAAGGAAATCAGGCAGCCAGTGGGCCCCGGGGGTGCTTTTCAAGAGGAAGACTGGAAGAGTGCTCAGTAACAAATACTTTGTCTTCCTGGGCTGACTTTGTTCACCCTGGCTGCTGTTGGTAATACTGTTGCCACTCCATCTCTCGCAGTGGCATACCCGGATTGTGTGTGGGTGGGAAGTCGACAATGAGCTCTGTGGCAGTTTTGACCCAGGAGAGCTTTGCTGAACACCGCAGTGGCCTGGCCCAGCAGCAGGTGAAAGGTGAGTTCCTGTCATGTGCCTCTCAATCCAGACTGCACAGACCTCTTAAAAGTGTGCATTTTCCTTTCCTAAATTGGTGTTTTACTGGACTAGCTTTCCACCCCCAGCAGCACAGTGAAGGGCTGTGAGGACATGGGCCTGAACACTTCAGAGAGTTCTGGCTAGCAGTGCTCTCAGCCTTGGGATGGGGCACGTCAAGAGTGGGGCACTGAGCTACATGAGAGCCTCATGGATCAGTGTGCTGGGCTGTCATTTCCACCCTTTGCTCAGGCAGGTGCTGAGGGTGGTCACTGGCCATACAAACTGACTCCATGGTGGGTTTTGGCTTCCATTCCCAGCTGTGAGCTGCCCCATTTGGTATAGCTCAGTGCACATAATGTACAGATACAGGCTTTCCTTTGACTTTGCCCTAACTATAGTCCTTCTCTGCCCTTTTCCTAGACTTTGCCCTAGCTATAGTCCTTCTCTGCCTTTTCCTAGACTTTGCCCTAACTATAGTCCTTCTCTGCCTTTTCCCTGGGCTGATGTTTGTCTTATCCCCTTCTGACCTGCACCCTTTGGTCCTTTCACTTCTTTCAGCTCAGCCTGTTTTCCCCTAATTGAACTCCTCTTGAATGAGTTGGCAATAAGGTGCTGTTCACTCCCTGCACCCCCTGTGCCAGCTCAAACAAGGCTGGTGGTTTGTGGCATCCACTGCAGTCTGTGCTGTGCTGATGTCAGTTGTGCTCCAGACTTGGCAGCCCCATAGGCATAGTTGTAATAGGATTAATAGCAGGGCACAAGCCATTTGCTCTCCCTTGTTAGTGGTGCCTAATTACAATTGCACTGCCTGTGAACAGGGGCATTTCTGCAGGGAAAGTGACTCATTTGCCCTATTTGCTTTACTCCAGTTACAGCTTTAAACTCTGAAGAAGAGAATGATCCTCCAACCTACAAGGAAGCCTTCCCTCCACTCCCTGAGAAAGCACCATGTTTGGAAGCTGCCCAGGAACCTGCTGGTCCCTGGAGCAAAATTCGACCAATAAAGGCTTCTGTCATCACTCAGGTTGGTGGGAGTGGATGTCTTATCTCCTGTCTTTTCCCCACTCCCCAAAGTAGGTGAAGTGAAGCATTCTCTGGAGTATGAAATCCTTGGTATGTCAGCCTCTTTGTTGTATTTTACCCTGGTACTGCAGCTGAGAGCTAGGTCTGCTCTGGAGGGGAGGGATGTGTTGGAATCCCTGTTCCTCAAATAGCTGAAGCAGGCCCAGAGGGAGGATTGCAGAATTCCTGTAGTGAGTGCTAATCCCCCTTTAGGAAGAGTCCCAGTGTGGGGCAGCCTGGCTGCTGAAGTGCTCCTGCCCTTCCCTGGGCACAGCTGCACAAACTTGGAGGTCAGCTTGCCACCAAAGTCCTGCATAGCCATGAGAGAGAGAAGAGCTGTCAGGCAAAGCACACTGACAGCTTGCTCTGCTCTTTTTGTGTCTGTGGCTGAGCAGGTGTTCCACGTGCCGTTGGAGGAGAGGAAGTACAAGGACATGAATCAGTTTGGAGAAGGGGAGCAGGCCAAGATCTGCCTTGACATCATGCAGAAGACAGGAGCTCACCTGGAGCTGTCTCTGGCAAAGGACCAGGGCCTTTCCATCATGGTCTCTGGCAAGCTGGAAGCAGTCATGAAGGCTCGGAAGGAAATTGTTGCTCGGCTGCAGACTCAGGTGAGGGCAGCTAACTGTTTCTCACTTGATCCTTGCTCCTTCCCCAAGACTGAATGCTTTGAGACCCTTGGGTGTGTGTGCTTATAAACCAAAGAGGTGTTATTAGATGACTAATTCAGCTTTGCCATATATTTTCAAAGCATACAGTTGGCAATTTGGAATGGAAATGAGGCTTAAAATAGGGTTCAAAGCTAATTACAGGCCATGGTGTTGCATGAAGGGTGGAGTCTTCAACCTGTGACTTTGTGCTGAGGTGCTGGTGCTGGCAGGGTACAGGCCCCTCACACAAAATTCATGGTGTGTGAGAACAGAGTGATGCTTTCTCTGAAGTCTTTCAGAGAAGAATGTGGAGGGATGGGAGAAAGAAAATAGAGAAGAGGGAGTTCTGCCAAACGCTGGAAGTTTCATATTGGGGTTCTCAGTTGTGTAACTTGAGCCCCATTGGTAAGTAATTACAGACTGCTTGTTTCAGTTGCTTCTCGTTTCAGTCCTCTGCATTTTGATTTCTTACTTTCAGGTTCTTGAGGTCATTATCAAAATGGTACTTCTTGTTAAGATCCATCATAGCCTGGTGTCACGCTGTGTTTTAAAGTGTAATGTCCAGGGTAGTTAATGCAGTAGTTAATACCATGTCTGCTCAGTGCTGTTCAGCCCATGTGTCATACCCTGCCAGAGGGATGAAAAAGGGACAAACTCTACATAATATGCATCTGAAAAAATAGTTTAGCTTGTACTACCCCAGATCCATGCCCCACATGTCCTCACATATCCCTCCTACGTGGCCCCAGGTCTGAAAGGTGTGTCTGTGTTGCAACTTCTCCTAGGCTTGGCTGGCATCAGTATGTGGACAGGAAGTTGAAGAGTCACACCAAGTGATCTGGTTTTGATTTGATTTATTACTTTTTCCATTGTAGCTTGAATTGTAAGTGCCTAGTTAGTTAATAGTTTCATATTCCCTGGGATCAAGAGCATAGTAGCAATCCTAAGCTCTCAGGTCAGTAAAAACTCATTGAGAAGGGCAGAAGTCAGGAATCCCTGTTATGAGCCAGACCTTTAATGCTAGATTTAGAAAAGTTCTGGGAACCCCTCTTTTTCAAGAGAGAAGCAGTCCCTGAAGCAGCCTGTGCTGCTTTGAAGACACCTTAGCACTCAGTAATGGTAAGCATGGTTGAGCTGTCTGCCTGCTGGAATAAGTTTCTGGTGTTGAATTTCAGTTTCCTAGGAGTCAGGCTATGTCTTCTTCTCTGTAGCCTTGGCAGCAGATATCAGAGTTCAGATAAACTCTACCCCAGAGCTGTCATCCCAGTTGCTCTCTGGTGCTGAGAGACTGAGACAGTGGAGCATAGACACCTCCTCATTTGTGCCTGAAGGCTTTTGCTTGTTCAGTGTGTTGGTCCTGGGAAAACAGAGGGTTTTTAGGAAATAGTGGGGTTTAGACTCCTGGAATACAGGCACTTTAAATCTGCTCCTCTGGCATAGTGTCAATCTTGTGCTAGATGGATGTGCTGGAAGACACTGTGTTTACTCCTCAGCTGTAGCATAAGCAGCATCTGAAAAGCTTTCCCTGTGGAGGCAGGGGCTCTCACAGATCCTTGGCCTCTGTATTGCAGGCTTCAGCGACAGTTGCCATCCCCAAGGAGCACCACCGCTTTGTCATTGGAAAGAATGGTGAGAAGCTGCAGGACCTGGAGCTCAAAACTGCAACCAAGATCCAGATCCCCCGCCCAGATGACCCCAGCAACCAGATCAAGATCACTGGCACTAAGGAAGGGATTGAAAAGGCCCGACACGAGATCTTGCTTATCTCTGCTGAGCAGGTACCTCAGTCCTGTGATCTCTCATGTCGTTATCTGAACAGCCATTTTGGTTCTCTATGGTATATTAGATGTTTGTAGCCACCATGGCCACAGCCAGTGGCTGTTGTCATTATATTGCAAGAGTTCTATTGTCATTACATTGCAATGGTTCCATATTGCCAGAGTTTTGTACCCCCTTGATGTTTCTTGTAGGCAGCTCCTCTGGGCACTGACTCTTCCTTGTCCTCACAGCAGCCAACTGACTCCAGTCCCCTCAACCAACCAACCCACTCTTTTATAACACTCTTCTTATTGGCTACAGCTGTGGCCTGTTAACATCAGGCCTGCTCCTAATCCTTAATAGTTAACCCAGCTGCAACTCTTTAGGGGGTAAGATTACTTTCTATGCTACCTTTATATTCTATCCCCCTACAAGTGGTAACACTGTTAGTCTGAACAGAGATGCACACCGTTCCACTGGCTGTTTGAGCACTGCTTCCAGGTTCTGCCCCTTCTGCTTGTCCCTTTTGTCCATCTCTGAAGTCAGATGAGCACTTTTCATATTTTGAAGTGAACCACATTAGATGCCAGCTAAGACAAGAGATTAGAGGCGAATATCATAAATTGAGAACAGCAGTGTTTGTAGATGGAAAGGAATGGAACCTGCAAAATGGAAAGGTGCTTGGGCTAGAGTGTCAAGCAAGACAGCACTGGGAATTCAGCTGTATGTATCACCAGCAGTTTCCCTGAGGGCTGTTCTGGATTCCTGTAGGATAAGCGTGCCGTGGAGAGGCTGGATGTGGAGAAAGTGTACCATCCCTTCATTGCTGGCCCTTACAACAAGCTGGTGAGTGAGCTCATGCAGGAGACAGGGACACGCATCAACATCCCCCCGCCCAGCGTCAACAAGACAGAGATAGTCTTCACAGGGGAGAAGGAGCAGCTGGCCCAGGCTGTGGCTCGTGTTAAGAAGATCTATGAGGAGAAGGTATGGATGGTCCCTAGAGCTTCCCATCTTCCCCTCACCTGCTCACAGCCCCTCTTCCCTTCTTGTTCTACTTCTGTGCATCCCTCAGTTGCATTCTCCTCGTGCCAGCTCTTGCTCAGCAGCCCTTGCAGTACATGGGACCTGGGTCTTACCATTTCCTTGCTCAGCAGAGTGGGACTTGGGGTGATTCTGTTGTGGAGGTGACAGCTCTCCTGCTTTTTTGTGTAATGGAAATTAGCAGACCACAAAGAGCTCTCTGGGTGCGTGTTTTCACAGGTGCTGCAAAGGAAGGAGGGAAGTGTGAAGGCTACAATGTGGCCAACTGACAGTATCAAAATTGTTACATGAGTAGAAGTTGCTGAAAAGTAAATTTCACCTCAGTTTATTTTCCATTGCTAGTGTCACTGTGAATATCCTTGTTGTGGGTTGTTGGTCTGTTTTTCCTCATGGTTACGTCTGCATTTGTACCAGTCTGAATTTCAACACAGATAATCAGCTTATAGCGTGGTGTTGCATTACAGCACTGCCTGGGGACAGCTGGGCATTGTGCAAGGGCAGGGGTGTGTATGTGGTCTCTTCCATGTAGTGTCCCAGGGAGCTTAAACAGAATTTTTGTATTTCACCGGTCAATTTTTGAGAATAAGGCTTTCTATAAGCAGGTCCCAAAGATTCTAGGGTACTGCAGAACTCCTGTGCTCACCTTTGCTTTGATCTTTCCTGGGTGCTGAGCTTCACTGCATCTTGTGTCTCTTCCTTTCACTTTTGTCCTTCCCTGCTCCCTTGTGATTGATGCTCCAGTGCCTCTGCTCCTACAGAAAAAGAAGACTACTACCATCGCTGTGGAGGTGAAGAAGTCCCAGCACAAGTATGTCATCGGCCCCAAGGGTAATTCCCTGCAGGAGATCTTGGAGAAAACTGGAGTCTCTGTCGAGATCCCACCCACTGACAGTAGCTCGGAGACGGTGATACTGCGAGGCGAGCCTGAAAAGCTTGGGCAGGCATTGACTGAAGTCTATGCAAAGGTACTGATGGGATGGGCCAGGCTCCTTTGAAAGCCCCACAAAAATACATCCCTGGGCACTGACAGGTGGAGGGGGGTGGTCTCTGTCAGGCTGTCAGAGATGCAGCTTAGAATTGAACAATGAGGGTGCAGCATGGGAATTGGAAGTGAATTTTTGTGAAGGCCTCTTGCAGTCTGTCCATCAACAGCTTCTCTGTCTCTCAGGCCAACAGTTTTACCGTCTCCTCGGTCTCAGCCCCCTCTTGGCTTCATCGTTTCATCATTGGAAAGAAAGGACAAAACCTGGCCAAAATAACTCAGCAGATGCCAAAGGTATGGATGAACTATTAGCTTAGTACCAGTTGAAGTAGAATGTGGTTTAATCCAGCTCACTCTTTGTAGAGAGAGAAATGTATTCTAGTATGGATAAAACCAGGGAGGAAATGATACAGGTCTTACCATAATCAGGGGAACTACCAGATTCTACTGCCTCAAACACTTCCCATCCTATGTTACTTTCAAGCATTGAGTCCTTCAAAGAAAGCCTTATGTGTTAGTATTTGGAGAACTGATGTAGTAGGAGACCTGGAAATTCTGAGTTCAATGAGACTTCTCCCTTGTGAGTAGGATGGTATCTGGAGAAAGGCTAGGTGAGGAACTTCTCCAAAGCCCTTGCAGACTCCAGGACAGCACCAAAACCTTGTGCTCTAGACACCAATATGGCCAAAATTGTAGGTTGCATGCTTCAGAAATCATGTGTACCCTTAGTGATAGGGACTGATGGTGTAGGCCTGACTGACAGCATTGACCTGGCTCTTATCTTGGAAAATTCTTACTGGTTTCCTTGCCTTGTGTGTCAAGGTTCACATCGAATTCACTGAAGGAGAAGACAAAATCACTTTGGAAGGACCTACAGAAGATGTGAATGTGGCACAGGAACAGATTGAAGTCATGGTTAAGGATCTGGTAAGTTGCTGGTGCTAGTTCTAGTGTATAAGAAGAAAGTGGGGAAAGGTGGGGAAACAGAAGAGATGAAGTGTAGCTCATGTCTGTGGGTATCTTCACAGGCTTAACAGAACTTGCAGAAGGCAAGTTGTGTGGCAGGTGAACTAAAACCTTGGTTATGAAGCTTTTCCTAAAAAATCACGGGCACATCTTCAGTCTTTTGATGCAGAGAAGGAAAGATTCTCTTTCAGTCACAGCTGGAGAGGCATTTAAGTCTCTTTAAATGTTTCACAAGCATGGTGCTCTCAGCTCAAAGCAGAGGAGTGTTCTGCTGTGCTCACTAGCAGGAGGAGTGCTTGTAGCTGCAGCTGGAGTCAGTGCCTGCACTGGCAGTGGGCACAGGCAGCAGCAGAGGGGGCCTGCCCTGCCTAGCCCTGTACAATTCTTTGTAGATCAACCGGATGGATTATGCGGAAATCAATGTCGACCACAAATTCCACCGACACCTCATTGGCAAGAACGGAGCTAACAGTAAGTGGGGTGCCTTTGTTATCCTTCCTCTACTCAGACTCTCTGTGATAAGCCTGTCATATCGTGGCTCTGCAGCTCAGCCAGGGGGCTGCCTCCATCACATTGCCTCTGCCCTTCTGGAGTGAAGTTGGCACAAGAAGATAAATGGGCAGTGAGGCCTTGGGATGGCTCTATTGTCTTGGAAAGTTGAACAGATTACTTTGCTGTGTCCTGGCAGAATTTTTGGGGTTTGAGGAAGTTGGATAGTTGTCTTTTTTCTTTTTTTCAAGTTGGTCTATGTGAATTTCATTATAGAACTCAGTTGGGGGGGTAGAAATCCGCATGGTGAGTTTTCACAAAAAAATAATTTGGGATTATAAATTAATATCTTCTAGGCAAAATATGGTGGTGTCTGGGGAAGAAACAGATGCCTCACTTTGGCAAGTGAACTATTGCCTCTAGATGCCATAGTATTTAATTGTACAGATTCCTGTGTAGAATGGATCTGCCCTTGCAGATGCAAAGGGAAAGAGGCACTTTCCCCTGATTCAGCTCCATCCCCCTGGCCTTTCCTCAGAGGCTGATGTACTTTTTAAAGCCTCTAGTCAAGGTGTCTTTGCTTCCAAATGGTGCCCTAGCAGAGTGTGTCACCACAGCCCTTGCCTTGCAGTTAACAGGATTAAGGACCTCTACAAGGTGTCTGTGCGCATTCCCCCGGACAATGAGAAGAGCAACCTGATCAGAATTGAAGGAGACCCACAGGGGGTCCAACAGGCCAAGAAAGAGCTGCTGGAACTCGCTTCCCGTATGGTTAGTGGGATGTGATGCCTGGGAGGCCGCAGGGTTTGAGCTCTTGTGTCCCCTAGTAACCTGCTGGTAGAGGTATGTGCCCCTGGCCCACTGAGCACTTGGATCTTGTGACAAGTGCAAGTTCCTCTGTTCCCTTGGATCCCTTCTCTGTCAGCCTAAAATAAATTATATCTGGAGGAAAAACATTGATGACCAGTAAGCTGTCGGGCAGCAAACTGGTAATGACAATTATGTGGCTCTCCTGCTGAGCACTCCTTGTAAACTCTGTTCTCCACAGGAAAATGAACGCACCAAGGATCTAATCATCGAGCAGAAATTCCACCGGACCATCATTGGGCAGAAGGGCGAGCGGATCCGGGAAATCCGGGAGAAATTCCCAGAGGTAAGGCTTTCCAGGAGAGGAGGGATTCAGAGGGCATAGTTCCTACTTGGGTAATAGACACATGATCAGTAAAGTCATAAATGTAGTGTCTCTGTGAGCATGAGAAATATCTAGCTGACATGTGTCTGCTCATACATCTAAAATATGTGAGAAGATGGTTCTTCTGGCCAGAGACTGCCGACATGGTTACCTGCTTCCAGATGGCAAAGGAAATGTGCAGGATCTCCCCAACCTTTGCACATGTCTAACATGACAGTCATTGTATTTGTTTGAGCTGACCCTAAGTGACCATTTCCTGCAGGTTATCATCAACTTCCCAGACCCTGCACACAAGAGTGACATTGTCCAACTCAGAGGTCCCAAAAACGAAGTGGAGAAGTGTACCAAGTACATGCAAAAGATGGTGGCAGACCTGGTAAGGGAAACTTCTATCTGCTATTCTCTCTTCCATGCCTGGATAACCCTGGAATAGAAGAGAGCTGTAGGGGCTTGACTAGGGCTGACACACCTCAAGATGAGGGAACTGTGGACATGGTTCTATGTTTATGGGGGCAGGCAAGTAATACCTGTTATTTAAGGGCTATAGGAAAGGGTACATGTCTTGCTTATTCTTGGAAGTGTCCCATATGGAGAATTCCTGTTGTCAGAAGCTTGTTTATCAAATTCCTGGGGTGGAGTCTCACTTGCCAGGATGGTGTAATCTTCAATTCTCCCTTCTTTCTCTCTTAGGTTGAAAACAGTTTTTCTATTTCTGTTCCCATCTTCAAACAATTCCACAAGAACATCATAGGGAAAGGAGGTGCCAACATCAAGAAGGTGAGATATCTTTCCTTTCTTTGCTGCTCATTAACATGATTGCCTGCAGTGAAATCTCATTCACTGGTCTCCCCTGCTCATTGGTAATACAAAATAAAACCTCCAAGGCCTTTTTTCTGACATTTGACACCTCTCAAATGATTTTGTTGGGTTTGTTTTTGGTTTTTTTTGTGGCAGATCCGTGAAGAAAGCAACACCAAAATAGATCTCCCAGCTGAGAACAGCAACTCGGAGACAATTGTTATCACGGGCAAGAAAGCAAACTGTGAGGCTGCTCGTCACAGAATTTTGGCAATCCAAAAGGAACTGGTAGGTGAAACAGCTGGCCTGTGGCAGATCAGAGACTTGAAAACATAAATATAGGAGTTACAAGAGACATAAATAGAGAAGTGCTTGTAGTGAGGCATGGCAGAGGGGAGACAAATATGGATGTCAATCTGTTGATGCTTCAGCTGAAGTTTGTGACTGCTCGTGTGTTAGGAGTGGCCAATCCCAATTCCCTCTGGTCAGGCATTTCTGACACTCAGGTGTGCTAAGCTCCTGACAATGTGGGAGTTAAGAGGCAAGCAGAGTCTGTGCAAACACACAGCTATAGCTTGACTAACATCCCATACTGTCCTTGCTTAGGCCAACATAACGGAGGTGGAGGTCTCTATTCCTTCCAAACTCCACAATTCCCTCATTGGCGCCAAAGGCCGCTTCATCCGCTCCATCATGGAGGAATGTGGTGGAGTCCACATCCACTTCCCCACAGAGGGCTCTGGCAGTGATACTGTGACCATCAGGGGCCCAGCCCAGGATGTGGAGAAAGCCAAGAAACAGCTGCTACATCTGGCAGAGGAGAAGGTGAGCCTTGCCTTACAGGGGATGGAGCACATTGGTCTGACCAGCTTTTTGTTTCTGGAGGTTGAAGTGATTCCCTCTGTCTGCATGGAAGGATTTGGTGTCAATAGAACAAATCCTTTTTTGAATGATTTGAATACAGTTTGGGTGATTAAAAGTCATACATTTATGACTTCCATCCTTGTGACAATGAATTCTTCTCTCATGGACAGAAGAACTGTCTGTAATGCATCTCTGGGCAGACTGATGATACACTCAGAGTTAAGGCTCCTTGCTTTTGTGGTTTGAATGTTCTTGGGTACCTGCACTTCTCTGAAGTACTTTACTCTGTAGATCTCCTTCACTATTTTTTTTGATTTCTGCATTTCAGTTCCAGTTCTCCCATTTCACTGCATATATTCAAATTTGAGAGCTTTTGGTTACAAGACCTTCCTCTGAGTTGTGGCTGACTGACTCAGTCATTCTAATAGCAAGCTTTCTGGGGTCAGCATGTGAACATGCTCTCCCTGGGAATGGTTAGTTGTCTCTGGGAGCCTGCCTTGCAGCAGTTAGCAAATGATTGTGTTGCCTTTTGTTCAGGTCAGACCCTTCTGGGGAAGTCTGCTCATATTCTCATTGGTCATGCTGAGTGTACAGTTAGTTTTTTGGCCCTGAGAACATCTTTGGGGTAGTGTTTTTAATTTAAGACATTGTATACCTTTTTTACTTTCAATGGTGAGCTGCATCTACTTTGCTTTTGCAGCACTCTGCATGTGGGTGCAGGTGACATATCTACCTGCTGACTGCTGGTGCTGGTGATATTTTTTGTATATTAACATGTTCTATGGGTGTCTGGCTCCTTTCAGCAAACAAAGAGTTATACTGTGGACCTCCGTGCAAAGCCAGAGTACCACAAATTCCTTATTGGCAAGGGTGGTGGCAACATCCGCAAGGTGCGGGACAACACGGGGGCCCGCATCATCTTCCCCACCTCTGAGGACAAAGACCAGGAACTGATCACTATCATGGGAACAGAGGAGGCTGTCAAAGAAGCACAGAAGGAGCTGGAAGCCCTCATCAAGAACTTGGTATGAACTTTTTCCTGCCTCTCACTATTGCAAGGTGTAATGAGTCAGCATGAAGGACCTGCTTGTCCTAAAACCATTTGGTGCCCTTCGTGGGAGCTCAGGAAGATCCTTCCTTACCTTGGGGTGAGGTTGTAAGCTGATTGCTGTTGAGTGCAGCCAGCTTATGCCTATCACCAGCACAGGTGGGATTGACTGGCTGTGTTGTGTTGGCAGGATAACGTGGTTGAAGACTCCATGGTGGTGGACCCCAAGCACCACCGCCACTTTGTCATCCGTCGAGGACAAGTTCTCCGTGAGATTGCAGATGAATATGGTGGTGTGATGGTCAGCTTCCCGCGCTCCGGCACCCAGAGCGATAAAGTCACCCTCAAGGGAGCCAAGGACTGTGTGGAGGCAGCCAAGAAACGCATCCAGGAGATCATTGAGGACCTGGTATGTTGTAGAAAAACTGTTTCTTCTGTACTCTGTTCCCTCAGCAGTGTCCTGCTTGAGCCTGCTGTATGACCAAGCTTTATGTGAACAAGTCCCATGGTAGTTCTTGGATGTGAACCTTTGCTGTCACCATACAGGGTCTGCAGACTTTAGATCCTGGCTTGGGGGTAGCAGCAGGCTCCAAAATGTCAATGCTGCATTAATTAATCTCCTCTGACAATCTTGGTTTTTAGGGGTGGAAGTAGGAGGCCACTCCTTGATGTACATCTAGACATTAAAAGATTGCAGCCTTCTTGTGCCTCTCCATGTCTTGGCCTTGGGCAGTGGTTGCTTTCAGGGGTTTCCTGCACTGCTGGTATTGGCTTTTGGAAGCAGTCATGTCAAATCTGTTCTTTCCCACCTATCTTTATATTTTTTCCATTTCTTCTAATGCTTCCTCCTCTTCAGAGTACTAAAGAGTTTGAGTTTTGCTCTTCAAAGCCTTTAATGTCCTGAGTTGAAGGCAACCTTCTTTAAGTCCTCTGCTCTTCCAAAAGAGAAATGATTCTTGGAAGTTTTGAGTTCTTCCCCTGTCAGCCATTGTTATCTTTTTTGACTCCTCTCTGTGTCCATTTTGGGTTTCACCATGCACAAACATCCTGTATTGTGGTGTGAAAGAGGCTGCATCACAGTAGAGCAACTCTGCTTTCCCACAGGAAGCTCAAGTGACAATCGAATGCACCATTCCACAGAAGTTCCACCGCTCCATCATGGGCCCGAAAGGGTCCCGGATCCAGCAGATCACCCGCGACTACGGTGTCCAGATCAAATTTCCTGACAGGGAGGAAAACCCAGGTGTGTCTGTGGATGGTAGTTGGGATGGTCAAATAATTGTAGTGTAGCCTACACTCTGTACCAGTGGGTGTGTTCTGCTTTAAATCTATGGAGAGAACTGACCCCTGGTGTTCCTGCAGTGTCCTTGAATCTGGGCTTAGCATCAACCATGTCCTCTTGGAATGGGACAGTTTCAGGAGGTCAAACTGCAGACCTGGGTGTTGTGATCACGTTGTCACTGCAGAGAACAGGGAGAACCAGGACATCCTGACAAAAAAGGCTCTGTGAACTTAGTGAGGTCTCTCTGACCTCTCAATCTTAGGGTCTGGAGGAGGGAGATGATGAACGAGAAGCGGGCTCTGTGCATTGAACACAAAGCTTTCCATGTTTTCAGCCCCTGTTGTGGAGCCAGCTGTGCAGGAGAATGGTGAGGAAGGTGGGGAAGGCAAGGAAGGGAAGGACACGGATCCCAGCTCTCCGAAGAAGTGCGATATCATCATCATCTCTGGCCGCAGGGAGAAGTGTGAGGCAGCAAAGGAGGCGCTGCAGGTGTGTGGCTTTCTCATCCCCTTACCCCCTTAAGGTGGTGATGCTTGGATGTAATTTGTGGTGGTGGTAGTAAAAGCTGCTTAGTGCAGGTGCAATGCAAGTGGTCAGTAATGTTGGCTGCAGAAGAGGTCTGCACTACTCAAGGGAAGCCCCTCTGCTCTGTGACTTAGCCTGGCAGCTTGAATCATACTGCCTGACTTTGTAGTTACTAGTGCTTGTAAGCAGCCCCAATAGCTATAAAAACATGATATGATTGTTTTATGGAGCACAGCTGAGAAAAGGAGGAGCCTGGTTGAGGCTGAGTCATTCCAGGTTCAGCAGATCTTGCCATGCTTCTCTGGTGATGTTTTCCAAGTCTGTGCTAGACTGAAGCCAAGGATATGAAAGCAACCTGTCCCACAGGTGGAGTTTCACATGGCTTCTTCTGAAAACATGCAACAGGTCATTTTGGTGTTCCCAGCTGTGCTCTTTCTGTCAAATTTGTATCCTGACTACAAGGGAATGTACCTCTGTTCAGCAACATGTTCTTTTGGGCAAGCATATGGCAAGCTAGAAGAGAGAAGTTTTTCCACTGGTAAACTGTGCTCCATCCCCTGCAGGCTCTGGTTCCTGTCACCATTGAGGTGGAAGTTCCCTTTGATCTTCACCGTTACATCATAGGCCAGAAAGGAAGTGGGATCCGCAAAATGATGGATGAGTTTGAGGTAAGTTGTTGCCCTTCCTTCCATCTCCTCTGTCCTGGAGAATCTGTAGGTGACTGTGTTGGAGGTTTGGACAGTTACAACATACTCAGGTCTGCCATGGAATCCAAGGCTCCATGGTAGGAAAATGATCCCTGGGTGTTTTGGAGCCTGGATCCAGGGCTTGGTTGGTTTTGTGCTGAAGCAGTACAGTCAGGGTTGATGTTGTGAGTGTTGCATGACTTGTTTGGTGTCTGCAGGGATTCCTCATCAGTGTGAGAGTTGTTTTCCTCCTGGGCCCTGGGAAACAGCTCTGCTGTGCCTACCCATTCAGGAGAATTCTCCAGAGCCTCTGGGCTGATGCAGGTTGGCTGCAGTCAGTGTTGTTAACATATATTTGTTTCCTGGCCTCTCTAGGCCAGCACAGGGGCTGGAGAAACAGAGTTCTATTCAAAAACCATCTAGAAATCGTCCCAAACAACTGACTCCAGGTGGCCCAGCTTAATGACCTCCAGAGGTCCTTTATAACCCCAGCCATTCTGTGGTTTTTAGGCTGCCTGGGTGGGAGCTGGTCTTGGTGCCAGGGGAGACCAGCAAGATGGCAGCTTGCAGTCAGAGCCATCACAAGTGATACAGAATGAGCAGTGATGTAAAATTATAATTACTGCTTGTTACTCAGGTGAACATCCAGGTGCCTGCTCCTGAGCTGCAGTCAGATATCATCACAATCACTGGGCTGGCTACCAACCTGGACCGTGCCAAGGCTGGGCTCCTGGAGAGAGTGAAGGAGCTGCAGGCTGAACAAGAGGATCGGGTAAGGCCTGTGCCTGTCCTTCCCTCCATCCAAACATGGCTTCAGTCTCTGGGTGCAGACTCCTGGAGCACCTCATCTTTTAGGGACACCCTTAGCTGCTGTGTGGGTGTGGAATGGATATAAATGGTTCACTCAAAGTAATGGTTTACTCAAAATGGTTTACCATGAACTGACAGGAGGGTTTGGGAGTGTAACTTTGGACTGTCCAGGTCTCTCTCACACCTTCATGTACTTTAGAGATACTAGTGGGTGGCAACCTCACTGTGCTGCCAGTCTCTCTCTACCTATCCTCACTGAATCCTTATCACAGCTCTGAATAAAAGGTTAGGGATGAGCTGGGGGTTGTTTGCTGTTTGCAGTTTCCCTCTGAACTTGGCAAAAGCACAAGTTTCCAGTGGATGGATGGCTTGGGTGCTCAAGCATGGCCCTGCAAAATCTGTTCATGCATCTCAGAAGGCAGAAGGAGATGCTGTGACTTAAGTGGACATGACTGGAACAGCCATGGTGTGTTCCCTGCTCTCACTCTGCTTCTCCTGTTCCAGGCCCTGCGGAGCTTCAAACTGACAGTGACTGTAGATCCCAAGTATCACCCTAAAATCATCGGGCGGAAGGGAGCAGTGATCACCCAGATACGCACAGAGCATGAGGTCAACATCCAGTTCCCTGACAAGGATGATGAAAGCCAGGTGAGAGATCAGGCACAGTGCAAAGATGGCTAATGGTTGTCTCTGAGCTTCTTCTCAAGAGCTCTGAACTCTCTCCACTGCCTCTGGATAAGGTGGATGGTGAAGGGGAGTAGCAGGGAGAAAGCTTGCTCAGCTGCTTATGAGCTTGGCTGTGCATTCGCATTCCCTGAAAATATTCCTTCACCCAGGATTTTTCTTCTGGGAAGCTGAGAAGCCTCAGAGAAAAGGAAAACAATTCTTATTTGCTTCTCCTGTGTTTTGCTCATGTAGAATGAGTTTGGAGATTGTTTATCCACAGGTGATTGTTTCATTGGATTCTGGTGTGAGTTGTTTTCGCTCTTTGGCTAATCAGGGCCAAGCTGTGTCGAGACTCTGGAAAGAGTCACAAGTTTTCATTCTTATCTTTTTAGCATTGAGTAAGTATCCTTTCTGCATTCTTTAGTATAGTATAGTATAGCATTCTTTAATATAATATAGTATCATGAAGTAATAAATTAACCTTCTGGGAACATGGAGTCAGATGCATTCCTCCCTGCCACAGAGGTCCCTGCTAATACAAAACTTGTTCTCTCACACATCTCTGTTGGACCAGGCTCAGGACCAGATCACCATTACTGGCTATGAGAAGAATGCTGAGGCTGCCCGGGATGCCATCATGAAGATCGTGGGTGAGCTGGAGCAGATGGTGTCCGAGGATGTGACTCTGGACCATCGTGTTCACGCACGCATCATCGGAGCACGTGGAAAAGCCATCCGCAAAATCATGGATGAGTTCAAGGTGAGCCCTGGGGCAGGGCCACACAGGCCAGACTGGGCCTGGGCAGCCACGTCCTCCTGTGGGAAGAGCTTGGTGCTGAATGAGGCTCACATCTCGTGGTTCTTGTGTCTTGTGCCTGCTCAGCATCTTCAGCTGGAACAGACATGACAGAAAAGCCAGTGCTGCTCTGCTCACCTTCAACTCCACCAGCATATGAGCAGCATTCCTGGCCCAGGGCACCCTGATATGCCAGGGGCACTTGGGCTGTCTGCACACCATAGTCAGACACCAGCTGAAGCATCCCCACACCACCTCAGCTCTGTGTCATGTTTCTCTGGAAGCCAGGCCAGGAGCTTTTCCTGTTTTGCTGGAACCCAGACTAAAGTGGAACCTGGAAATGCTTCCTTGGTGTTCTGGATTAGCTCTGCAAGCAGCCCTGAGTTCTGTTCCTCTCTGGAGCCCTTTTGTTTGGTTTCTTGCAGACAAAGTCCCAGATGATTTTGAGAGAGAGGCGGAGGTGTGTATGTCAGCTACTCTGAGTACTGAAAGTGGGCAGCCAGGCCTCTTGCTGGGAGGCTCTGCAAGACCCCCCAGCTACTTTGAACTTAATTCAGGGAGTTCTTCTGGCTTTCCTCTAGGCCACTGTAGATCCCCTTGACTCTGGGAATCATGGTGCATTCTCAGGGCTGTGGATGTGGCAGAGTTGGCTGGCTCTGGGAAGGTCAGGGACCTCTGCCCTGATAGCATATGGCATCAGCAGCAGGCTTTACTGCAGGGCCAGCAGTGAATGTGAATACTGAGGGATGAGATTTTGGAGACTTGCATTTTGGCTGGGCTCAGTTATTGAAACAAACTAATTCCCAAATGAGCAGCCTTTGGGTTTAGTCCTGTCTTGTTTAGATTTCTGGCACCTATCTGGAAGGCAGGGTGTGAGAGAGCACAGTGCTTGTGCATGGGGTGCACTAGGCCAGCTCTATAAAGCCATTGTCAGCCAGGATTATTCTGTGGCAAACACAGAAAGCTCATTGTGCTTTGTGGTGATGGCTCAATGGTAAAAATGCTTGCAGCAGTGTGAGGACACTGTCTGGAAATGCAGCCCCTCTCCTGCCTGTACTGCCCAGAAAACTGAGCCTCTGGGAGTGAGAGCAGCAGGGGCTGCTGGAAATTGGGTCCTTCCTACAGACTGCTCTGCTTTCCTCCACAGGAAACTGGGCAAGCTTTGGGGCCAGCTGTATACCTGCTCAGCCCTCAGTGTCTGAGCTGTGGAGGTCTAAAACAGACTTGTGGCTGTGGACAGACAGTAATTAGGGCATCAGTGACAGTGATCTGTGATTCCAGTGACAAGGGTCATGGGGAGTGTGTGGCATTTCAGATGTGCAGGTGTAAGTGTTGTGCTGTTCTTGTGTTCCAGGTGGATATTCGCTTCCCCCAGAGTGGAGCTCCTGACCCCAACTGTGTGACTGTGACAGGACTCCCTGAGAATGTAGAAGAAGCTATTGATCACATCCTGAACTTGGAGGAGGAATATGTAAGTGTTCAGCAAATCTGTGATGGGGTTCCCATGACACAGAGCTGGATATCTGAACTATGTCCATGTGGTATTTTCTTCCACTGCATCAGAGAAATTGAGCCCTGCGCATGTGGCTGTCAGCTTCCACTGCAGCTGTCCCTCAAATCAGCTGGACTGTCCCCTCTGTCCAGGAGAGGACAGTGAATGAGAATGCTGGGACACCCCAGGATGTGCCTGGTCTTGCCTTGTAGCAGCTTGCACCAGTTAAAAGTTGTGGCCCTCAAGGTAGTGCAGACACACCATTTTTGGTCATTGTAGAACAGGCTGGTGAGCTTGAACAGGTTGCAGTGTGGTGAGATGGAGGGGTGGGCATTTTATTCCACTTTAAAGAGCTATCCAGTTCCCCCCTCACTGGTTGTGTTACTGCAGCTTGCAGATGTGGTGGACAACGAGGCAATGCAGGTGTACATGAAGCCCTCCTCACATGAAGAGTCCAAGGCCCCATCCAAGGGCTTTGTGGTGAGAGATGCCCCCTGGGCCACTGTCAACAACGAGAAGGTGAGTGCTGCTTGTGCTGCAGGCTGGGAACACAGAGCCTGGGGACACTTCTGGCTGTGCTGGGGATGCTGCACGCTTATCTTGTGGTGACAGAGAAAGCAGCTTTTAGCTGCTCTTTGTGGCCCAAGCAGGCCTGGGCTCTCCTGTGCAGCTTTCAAAGCACTTCCCAATGTCTTGTCACTGTGGCTACATCAGTGTGGAGCAGATGGGGAATGGGGGATCCTTACCAGAGAGTGTCCTGTATTATTTTTAGGGGTAGGGCCTGGGATTTGAGACTCATACTGCAGCACAGAACTGGCTCAGTGTTGGCAGCTCTGAGCTGGGACATGTGGCAGCTCATCCTCAGCTGCCCCAGTGCTGCTGCAGGGCCCTGCTCCAGTGTCCCAGTTACCTAGCTGGGACCTTTGGAACCCTTTGCACCTTATCTGCACCCTCCTCAATGTCACCTCTAGATGTCCTGGGGCCACAATGATCCTTTTTGTCCCTTCCCCATTGTTTCTCCTCCTGGGAAATCAAAGACTCTGCTTAGGTCAGGGCCTCACCGTGTAAGTTCACAGCGGGGCAGGAGCTTAACTTGTTCCCTTTTTGTTTGCTCTAGGCCCCTGATATGAGCAGTTCTGAAGACTTCCCCAGCTTTGGGGCTCAAGTGGCCCCCAAGACTCTTCCCTGGGGACCCAAACGATAATGACCTGGAAGCAGAAACTCCTCCAGCCCGCTGACCTGACACTAACCTGCCACAAATACTTCCTGTCTGAAATCTGACCCAGCGGCTGGAGCACAAATCAATTGTCCCAAGAGGTCTCCTAATGGTGTCTGGAGTGCTAGACCCCATCCTGCTCCCCTCAGCTATCACCGTGTCTAGGACCCACCCTCATCTCTTGATGGATATTCTTTCCTCCTTTGGAACAAGACTTCCACTCAGATTCAAACACTAAATGTGTGTGTTTTTGTTAGAAACTTCATAATTGACTCCAAGTGGCTAAGATTTGCAGCTTCCCAAGCGCTAGCAGAGCAATCTGCTCTCTTGAGCATGTCTGACTAGGCATTCTCGCCTTCATTAGGAGACCTCCTTTACTGTGGCTAGGAATCTACTTCCTGTCTCATGACCTCAGGAAATAAATTTCCTTGACTTTCTAAAGCCAAAACGTTTGCCCTCTTTCCTTTGTGTTTATCCCAGGCCTTACCTTACCTTTGTAGAGTGCAATCAACTTTTTTTCCTTTTAACTGCCAAAAATTCATTTAATGCTGATAGCTGACTGTGGGGAGAGAGCTTCAAATAATCTATAAGGTCAGAAACCTGCTTTTTAAAGAAACAAAACCTTCAATAGGCTGTAGAGACAACAGAGATGGAAGGGGCCAGAACAACCTATGGCTACCCTGGTCAGGAAAACGCCTGTGAGCGCAGCGAGCGCCCCTGCGCCGCACCAAGCACAGCCCCAGCTGCACACTTGACCAGTCTTCCAGTGCTTGATGGCAGCCCCTGCTCCTTGTTCCCCCTTCCCAGCAGTGTGAGCAGGCAGGAGAGCCAGCACACCTCAGCATGGCCAGAGGGGACAGGTTTGGCTGGGTGCAGTGACCTGGCTCAGGAGCAGCTGGTGGGACACACAGCCTGCAGGAGCTGTAGCTGGCTGTTAGTGCTGCAGCAGCTCGGCCTGAGCGGCAGTCACAGCGCTCCTGTTGCCTTCTTTCTACCTCAAACAGCAGTATGGTGGGGGCCTCTCCATGGTGGTGGCTTAGCAGCCGCTCCAGCCGTCACCTGGAAGCATGGAGGAGAAGCAAGAGGAGCCTTGTGTCTCCGCACAGCTGGGAGTGCTGCTCCACAGGGAAGCAGAGCTTGGTGGTGCTGAGGCAGGCTGTGAATCCATAGGACTGCATGCTGAGCTAGCACAGGACTTGGCCCCAGGGCTGTGGCTGCAGCTGTGCCATAGCCCTGGGCTGCAGAGGTTGTGTGAGCCAGGCTTCTACTCCGACAGCACTGGGGGTTGATGTGTGTGCTGAGCCCTCCTGAGACCTCCATCATGTGGTAGAGGATGATCCATGATCTGTACCTGGGCCCTGCCGCAGCCTGCTCAAAGGGTGTTGTCTGAGCTCCTCCAGCAAGAGGGAAGCCCTGTCTCTGTGGCATGTAGCGTGGGCTCTTTGTGTGCCCCCACTTCCCTGCACTGGTCCTACAGAGCTTGTAGTCTGAGCCATTCCTCTGTCCCAGCTGCTTCAGCTCTTGGACAAGCAGGAGTCCCCAGCCTCTCTTGTCTAGTGCTGCTGACAGAGCACAAGTGTGGCAGGCTGAGCCCAGCTGCCTTGCCTTTCCCTCCCTGGGACAGGCCCAACATGCCGATGCTTTTCCTTCCAGCTCTTCTTGGCAGAGACTGCTATGCAGAAGTCAAACCAAAACCTCACAGTGCTCTCCTTTAGTCTGAGAACCAAGTGAACCAGACCATGGCCCGTTGTGGGGTGCCTGGTTGCCCCTGAAGGACAGGGTGGCCTTGCCTCCAGCACGGGAGAAGGGGAATTAGGGTGGTACCTTCCCATCTGCGTCTGTCAGAAAATGGTTAATAAATACCCTGTAGCTTAGGTCTGCCCTGCATCACCAAGCCTATCACCCCCTCCTCCTCTTTATTCCCCCGTGCCCTCACCAGTTGCACAGCAAGGCTTGAGTTACATCCAGGGCACCCACTGCCTTGGGCTCATGCCCCACAGCCCAACCTTCCACTCTAAAGAAGGTCATGAAGTGATTGTACCTAGTACTGTCCCCCAGCACCCTCCTTCCGCAGCAGACTGTGGCATGTGTCCATTTCTTCTCTTTGACGTCTTCCATATTGTACGTTTCCATAGCAATGATCCCTTGGCCTTAACTTTGGAATTTGGAGACTATATGCAAACATGTAAAAAGGCTCATGAGTATGGATGACACTGGAATTTTATAAATTCTAAAATAAAACCTGAAACAGCTTGGAGTGTGGTGGATATTATTTCTGCTGGTGGGGTGAGATCCAAGACAGCCCCTGCTGGGCTGGGTTTGGCCAGGGATTTAAGTTTGCATACCTGAGCTTTTGCTGTGGCCATGCCCTTGAAGGGGTGGGACTCATATGGCAAGTGGTGGGTCCAAGGAAGGGGGTGAGAGCAGGAAGGGGGCAGGGGCTGTGCCCTCCTTGTAGGGAAACACAAACCTGCTTGCCTCCAGGCAGCTGGTGCCAGGGATGCTGCTGCTGTAAGCGAGGAAGGGGCGGCATCAGCCATGGTTCTTGCTCAGCTACTTCACAGCCAGAGCCTCTTTAGCCAGGTACTGTTCCCATTTCATCTTAACCTCAGGCATGTCAGGTACCAGTTATGCAATCACACATCCAGTAAGGAAACCCAAATGCTGGAAGTGGATGGGAGGTGTGGGTTGGCTGCCATGGTGAGTCCTTACCCTTGGCCCAGCACCATACCCTGGGCCACCCCGTTGGGCTCAGCAGCTGATACCTCAGAGGTGATGATGAAACCCGAGCACATGGCCAGCAGCTGCCATCAGTGAAGGGCAGGCTGCCATCCTGATCCCTGAATGCTCTGTAACTCAGGGAGCAAAGTGCAGCAGGTACTGACCGAGATTCCTAGCATTCCTCCTGCTCCCAGCCTGGCATGCCAGAGCACAGCAGAGCCAGCCCTCAGCCAGCTTCTGCTGGGGCCTGAGCCTCACACGTAACCTGGCCCTGGTGGAGTCTATTCTCCACAAAAGCCCCTCCCTCTCTCTACCACGGTGTCCAGTGACCCTCCCACCCCCGTGCACACTGACACGTCCAGCCACGCTCAGCCCTGGCACGAGTGAGGGCCCCAGCACCTCAATGAAGTGGGTGGACAATGTAGACCTGGCTAAAAGTCGCTCTGCTGAACAAAATATGTGCTGTGGCAGAGGCAGAGAAAGGCAAAATCCCAGCCTAAGGAAGGAGGAGCCAGCCAAGGGAGGCACTCCTGCCCACATGGGCTTAGCTCTGCAGGACAGAGTCCCATGGTGTGTGCACCAAGGTGGAGTTCAGGTGCAGGCTGCTGCTGTGGATGTACCTGTAGTATGCACGGGGCAGAAAATCAGAGGTGAAGGCTGTGAGGAAGGCCTGGAAGCAGGGAGCTGTGCTGCAGTAGACCCTGCAGCTGGGCGACACCCCATCCCCACCCTCCTTCATGCCCTGTGCTGCTTGCGTGGCTTTCTGCCTCTGCTTGCCCTCAGCCTGACAAACCAGACATGACACTGGACTGGGACAGCAGACATCTGTTCTCTTCCTTCAGTTGTTGCCAAGCAAGGCCCAGAGCATGGCAGCTGCCCACTGCCCATGGCTGGAGCTGGATCTTCTGCACAGGCAGACCCTCCCTGAGCACTGCTGCTCCCCTCATCATGCTGCATCCTGCAACACCCAAACGAGCTCTCCCCAATTCCCTTACTCCACCTGCAGCCCACTCCCTCCCCACTGCCCAGGTGATGGAGAGCCAGGTGCCAGTGCCCCATGGCTTCTCAGCCACAGGCTGCTGGTAGTCACAGATGCACTTGTGGGCATCCAGGAGATCTCCATCCTGCTGCTGAGCAGGGTGAAGAGGAGTGCCAGGGGACAGGCTGCCACAAAGATGGTGATGAAGCCAAACTGCAGGACTAGGAGGAAGAGGAGCAGGGAGGGACAGAGATGACAGCATCAACTGCAGCATCTCACAGCCCCATCCTGTGGGGAGTGGGGCAGCCTCTCCCTCCAGCCCCTGCAGGCTGCTCAGGGTGGAAGCTCCTTCCTCTGGGGGACTCCTGCAGTTCCAGCTTTCTCTCTCCCAGCACCCCTCAGCGCTCCCCAGCCTGAGGCCAGTCTCTATCCCTCTCCAGGGATTCACCAAGCAGCCCTTTGAACCCCAGAGCTGGTGGCCCACAGCCATGTGTGCCTGCTCCATCAGGGATGACTCCCCTCCTCATGGAACTCCCCTCCTCAGGAACCAAAGAAGGGGCACCATGTCCTCTGCTACTGAACATGCCCTTGGCATCCTGTGTGAGCTCAGGGGTGTGTGACAGCCCTGACAAGCCAGGGCACACTCACAGGATAGCCACCTCCTGCACCTTGGTGCTGATCTGCTTCCCCACCATGATGGGCAGCAGCTCCTGTGGCAGCTCCATGGGACACTCCCTTGAGCTGCCCTGAGGGGACAGTGGGGCATCCCCTTGGGCAGCCCAGCAGGGACAGTGGGGCTCCATCCTGGGCTGCCCTGAGGCGACAGTGGGGCTCTCTCTTGGCCTACCCTGAGGGAACAGTGGGGCATCCCCTTGGGCTGCGCTGAGGGGACAGTGGAGCTCCATCTTGGGCTGCCCTGAGGTGACAGTGGGGCATCCCCTTGGGCTGCGCTGAGGGGACAGTGGGACATGCCCTTGGGCTGCTCTGCAGGGACAGTGGGGCTCCATCTTGGGCTGCCCTGAGGAGACAGTGGGGCTCCATCTTGGGCTGTCCTGAGGGGACAGTGGGGCTCCATCTTGGGCTGCCCTGAGGAGACAGTGGGGCTCCATCTTGGGCTGTCCTGAGGGGACAGTGGGGCTCACACTGTGTGAGCTGTGTGGGGACAGCAGGGTCCCTCTTGGGCTGCCCTGAGGGGACAGCAGGGCCCTCAGCCTGCTGAGAGCTAAACCAAATGTTTGCTGTGGCGCCCCGATCATGGGAAGGCATTCCCACAGCCCACACCGCTGGGAAGGCCGGTGCAGGGGCTGGTCACTTGTAGCAGCGTGTGGCTGCAATGAGATCGCATCCAGGGAGGCCACAACCCTTCAGCGACAGCAGAGGAAACAGGCGAGACAAGTCTCGTCATTGTTTAGCACCGGAGTTCATTTTATTTCCCCCTCACGCCGTGCCGGGGGCGGGAGCAGCAGGCCGAGGCACGGGGAGCCGAGAGCAGAGAGAAAAGAGAGCAAAACAGACCCGGGGCCCGGCTTTTATCAGGTGTCCCATGGAAGGAGCCTTAAACTCGTATTAACCTCCTCAGAACACGAATGCTCCACCTGGCACTCAGCCCCTCACTGGGGATCCCCTGAAGGCTCAGGGAGTTTGTGGGAAACCTGCAGGAGCCAGGGCAGGGTTGTGAGGGGACAGCCCAGGCTCTGAGCCCGGGAATGCTCCCAGAGCAGCCCCAGGGAAAGAAGGGCTCATCTGGG